AAAATAAAAATGCGAACAAAAAGTGACTTTTTTTAATTACAATAAAATGACAAGTAATTTTATTTGCTACATATAGTTGAAGCCTTATTTAGTTCATTATTATGAACCGAATATGTATAATTAAACTAACAAAAATATTTAGATATATTATATCAACAATATCTAGATTTTTATATTGGCTCGCAAAAGTAACTTTATTGTGTAATGAAAAGACATTGTATGCGACAGTTATGGTAAATATCAATATACTAAGTTACATTTTTGACTATTATTTATCAACATAATTTTTTGTCAAATGGTGTATAAACATAACTGTAATTTATCAACACGAACATAGAAATGAAGCAAACACAACTACCATAACTTACATGGCTATTATCATAGTAAACATTAGAAATAATTAGATTTTGTTTCAGTATTTTAAGGACACATCATCCATAGTCACAATGTAGATTCTAATAACATGAATATGTTAACAAATGTAAATAATACTATACATAAGTTCATTTGAGTACATTCATTGTATATTGTATTCGAAACAATTAAAGAATATATATATGTGGCTTCATGGCTTCGCAAAAAGAATATAAAATTCTATAAAATAACTGAATTGATTGTAATTAGTGTTATCACTATTGTTCTTATTTTTTTTAGTATAGTGAGTAATCTCATATGTAATATTATTTTGTTCAATCAGGAAAACTATCAAATATCAACGAATGTCTACTTAATATTTCTCTGAAAATGGCAGTAGTTCTTATCTTTCTATACATTACATACATCAGCTATGTTTATTACTTTAGTTTCACTTGATCGAGCATGTCTTTTATGGAGTAGATCATATAAACAAAAAATAGCTCGATCACATACTGCACTTATATTTTGCATTCTTGTTCTCTTCATCTTATTTGCTCTCAATGGATTTCTATTTGCATTTGGATTTGAATATACTACATATAGCAATAATACTCAAATACAAATATCATTCATAGCATGTTATTATTCATTAAATACTGGATTTAATGATTTCTTTTCTATTCAATATCCATGGGTATGAAATAAAGAAGAAAATATAAGATAAAATTTGATTTGTTTTTTTTTCAGATTCATCTTGTAATCATGTATTTCTTCTCTATATATCTGTATATGGGCTTCGATGTGATATTCGTCGATTAGGTAGGAAGTAAACAGTTATATGCTTTGATTTTATTTGAATTTTGTTACAAATTTCTTGTCCTTTGTACTAATGCACGATGCAAAAGTCTTTGAAAAAGCGTCAAACTATCTTAGACCATCTTATCGACTTCTAAACCAATCAAATTTTTTTTGTTGGAAAGAGCAAAGTCTGAATTACAAATTTTGTATCAGACAGATTCTCCCAGAACGAATGTAAAAAGGAGAAAAAGTCAAAAACTGAACACCTCTAAAAAAGCTCCTTGCAACTTTTTCCAACTTGAAAATTCTGTATTTCTCAATTATTTCGAGTTACAGATATCAAACTTGAACAAAAAAATACACCAAAATGTAGCGCATGAAAAATTCTATCGATACGAACTTTGGTAATTGCTTTGGACTCGTTCTTGATCTTTTAAACAAAAAAGTTTTAAACATGAAGTTTTTGTAAAACAGGATCGTTTTCAGAAATTATCACGTTGCAAGAAAATTAGCTATCATCTTCAGAAATTATGCATGAACTCAGTTCTTTTTGCGTTATTTATTTGAAATATGTCTGATACAAAATTTGTATTTCAGACTTAGCCCTTTCCAACAAAAAAAATTTGGTTGATTTAGAAGTCTGCAAGATGGTCTAAGATAGTTTGACATTTTTCCAAAGACTTTTGCATCGTAGGTTACGTATGATTGATATTTACATACGAAAGAAAATGTATATTATTTTGAAATTGATAAATTACAATAGTTTGGTTTGTTATATTAATTATTCTTCAAAATAATTTGTTTCATTCATTAGATGAATGATAGATTCTGATCATATTCATTTCTAAATTATATGTACTTCATCAATAAAGATAACCTTCAACTTGTCATATATATCATCATCATCATCACACCATATTGTTTCTATATACAAACATTAGTTTGACAAAGTTGAATTTATTAAAACTAGTTTATCTATATTGAATTACATGAAACTCAATAGTTCATGATATTACTGTGTAATGTTTTATTACTAATAACATATGTTAATTTTATCAGTTAATAAATGAAATTTATTTTAACATATATGCAGAAAACAGAAATCTCTTTTTTTTCGAAAGATAGATTTTCTTTGAACAAAATAAAATTCTCTATCTATATAATATATTCAAAGCCTAGTTTGAATCAATATTAAAGTAAAATATTAAAAAAATCTTTCTATTAAATTCTATTTTTCTATGCTTCAATGAAGCAAACCTAAAAAATTTGATCAAATTAATTTTAACACTTAATCCATCTTGATTAGAACAAAAACCTATTAATTATTATAACACATGATAAAATAAAAACTTTTATTTCATCATCAACACTTCTACAAATATTTCATTATTTTAATCTTATTTAACATATTAATTTACTCTAATATCTAATTTAGTAAATGAAAACTATAGAGTATATTCTCTATTAAATAAATGAATGAACAGATGTAAATGTTAAATCATTAATTATCTTTACTACTTTCTTCTTTTCATCAATTATTAACTAAATCAAGTGTATTAACTTTCTCCTAGAAGAAAAGCTCATTTTAATTTTATCTGATTAGTTCATATATAGCAATGATATTTAATACTAACATTTATTACTTCTACAAAAACGAATAGTTTTATTTTTAGTAGTCTATATGACATATAAACTTATAAGTTATATTAATCTATTTAGACTGATTAACTCTCAATAGAAATAAACATTTTCTTCATAGTTTTTTTTAATGATTATAAACTATACAATGGGTTTTTACTTGTGTTTATTCAATGTCATTGTTTTATTCAGTTAGTCTAAATAGAAAGAAAAGAAAAGAAAAGATATCCGAGTTGCATTCCAATTCATTTTCTGTTGTTGTAATAGAATCGAGAAAATGTCAGGATCCTTATTGATCATGCTTACGATAATTCACTTGTGATAAAAAAAAACTGCATAGAATAATTGTATGTCGTATGTATGTCAAGTTTTTTTCTTTTGCTGTGCTTTTCTACTGCTTTTTTGCCGGAAACTGAAACATCCTTTAGTGAGAGAGAAAGACTGCCGTTGTCGATGTCGTGATACAATTATGAATTAAATGAACGGTTGCAAGTCGAACGAATGACAATTGAGCACTGATTTCTTTCTATTTATTAGAGAATACTAAAAAAAACACTATCTTCTATGTTTTATATCGCTACTTAGAGTATAAAAGGAATGTGTGAAAATTTACAGTAAATGGTATGTACATCTTTGAAACAAACTTTTCGATGATGAATTAATTCTCAATCGAAATTCATTTAGATTTGAATAAGTACATTCCCCTACTGATCTTTCGTACTGCACATCTCTTTGTTCTCTCTACTTATCTTTAGTATTTATTCATTTCCTCTTACAGCTAAAAATTAGCAAAGATAACTTAAACTATGATTTGTCTTTTTAATCATATTATTACTTATTTTTTCTTCATACAAAAAAAAACTATCGTCAATAGATTTAGTTGAATATTTATTTATGAGAATAATATATTTAATAATAATCTCTCGTTAAGTTATCGTTTCCTACTTTTATTTCATTATGTATAATTTCTATTTTTATGTTCTAGTAGTAAACTCATTTATGGATCTATTCTTCACTTTTTTCTCTCTTCTCTAGAGTATCGATCTATCTTTCATTCGATTCAATTATATATTCAAGCTAGTCGCGTGTAAGACGAACTATGAATTACTTTTTTTTTCTCTATTATTATTATTTTGAATACTAGATGCAAACTGTCAAGAAAAATGTAAGACTGAACATTGTATTTGACCATTATTATTCTATAATCAAATAGTTACAATCTATTTCTCGCATAATTTACCTTGCCATACATCACGATAGTATTAAAACATCAGTCTTAAGAATAAAAAGTGAAGCAAAAAAAAACATATCTAAGTGGGTAAGTTATTTACAATTGTAAGCATCTTATTTTCATCATCATTTGCGCGATATATTTTTGGTATTTTTAGCAAATGTAATATCTCTACGTCTTTGTTACTAGTTGTATTCATTCAACTATTTTTTAACCTTTTTAACGAGATAAAGAATTTCGATAGCAAAGAAAGAAAATTAAAGCAAGGGATCAAGTGATTATAATGATCTTAAAATTTCCTTTTTGTTGAATAAACATATCAGATGATTTTGAATATAGTTATTTCTATTTTTTAGATAATTATTGTACAGCACGAATATATTTCAGTATAATTTAATATAAAAAAATGTATAACTAGAAATAATAAAAATAAAGATGAGTATATTATTAGCTGATGGTCGATCAGCACCGGCTCGCCGCCCTTCACACACTGGTAGCATTTCATCAGTCTGTCAAATACAATGGTCACCATCCATTACAATCCGTCATGGAAGTATATCAGGAATGGGACGACGTCGTGCACTCGATTTATATGGTACAAAAGATGTAGTTTTTTCACATGAACAAGTGAAAAGAGCTAAAAGATCACACGATAGTACAACTGGCATCACTGTATCAGGGTAGGTAAGCATTTATGAATTGCATACGCTTAAGTTTTGAGTCTTAAGATATAAGTTTATTATGGCATACAGTCCAATAATTCGATTGATCATTGAGAAAAATGAGAGGATATTTAATCAAGTAGCAATAGATTCATTGTTTTATACTGAGTGTAAGAAGGCGCTAATTCCTTTCGATCATAATCATATAAAGACAGTAACTACTGTTAACTAGCTGCGCAGTATATGAATCGGATAACAACTTGTAAATGATTATTTAGTCTTCGGAAACAAGATATACATTGTTCTTATCGTTCGATGATTTTTAAGACCTTTTGGATATAGAAATACAAGTTTTGTACATTAGATATTTATATGATATAGACATTAATTCAAATGTCATTGAAAATTCCAATATTGATCACAAGGGACATGGTAGTCATCTACTCTATTATAAGCTCAAAATTTTCTGTATCTAATTTTCTTATCATGGATAAAAGAGTTATAATTTATAAAGAACAAATAATCTAACGAAGGCGACGTTTTATCTTTGTTTTCATAGACTTTCGATACTCATTAAGAATTATATTTCACAAGAAAGAATTATATATGAGAAATTATTTCTCTTGAGAATAAGAAAAAACGAATAAAGTGTCTAGAATTTGCAATAAGACAGTGTGAAATACACCATAGTATAATATTGAACAATCGATTTGAGAAAATATTCTAACAAAACAATCATCTATTCAATAGATAATAACTTTATATGTTGTTATAGCTTAATAAAAGTTTATATGACCTTCGTACTGTTTAATTCCTCAATATATTCTAATAAATTACAATATATTTGTATATTGAATTGCATGACAAATACATTAATTAACATTGTCCTATTGAGTAAAGGAGAATAGTAATTTTATTAATTAATTTGAAACATGAAATTTATCTTTCTAGTATTTTTTTAAAATAGATCTGATAAAATGAAAATTCGGGTTCATTTTATAACTGATTATTTGATTGATGATCTTTTCTTATCTTAGTTTGATCTGTTTCTAAGTAGGATTTATTGTGAAAGAGAAATCTTGATTTGATTTGTTCATGATTGCAATCATACTAAAACTCTTTTTATTTAATTTGCATGTATGATAATATTATTTTCACATCCGTATACTTCATTATTATTCAGATGATATAGATAGAACAAAAACAGGTCGCTATTTTTGTAATTTTGTTGCCTGGAAAATCAATGAGGTTAATAATGAATTAATACATCAACCAATCTAAAAAGGACTATATAATTTAGTTTAATGTAAAACAAAATAAATGAATTTTTAATGTATAATATAATGCTACATGTCATAGATTGACAATACACATTAGGAATATACGATTATCTTTTTAACATATGAAATACTTTGTATATTAAAGAATAATCATATGAAAAAATAAGGTGATACACTAGAGAAAATAACTTATCGATTATTTATATAGACAGAAATCAAATGATTAGTTTATAAAATATGAGCATATTGCAGAGCTAGAAAATATATGTGATAATTAAAAATGCGCATTTTTATAAAATAAAAATATCATGAATAACAATTATTTCCTCTAATAAAATTAGAATATTTTTAGTACCGAAAAAAAAAAATTTCACTAAAAAAATGAATATAATTACATCTGACACCTTTCACCGTATACGGATTGACATCATAGTCATTTAAAATAGAAATGTTACCAAAAAAAAACAAATTAAGATCAAAGTCTCGTCAAACATATTCATTTATTTTTTCCTTGATGATGATAATAAGTTTCATTAATAATTAGGATGTATTCGGCATGGTAACAAAATAATTAGATATTCAAATCTTAATAACACGTTTTAGAAATAAAAAAAGAAACTGAAGTTAAATTTTTTGAATTGGAATCATTGAATAGAAAAGAATTTATTTATAGATATCAAATAACTGTCACATATATAAAAGAAAGAAAAAAGAAATTTGCATATGTGTTTTGATCTATAACAACTGACAACTTCCAATTTACATCATCTTTTGGTTTAAATTACTACGCGCAATGATATATAAAAGAATCTTGATTAATATACGGAAATATGATAGATTATAAGGACATTTACAGTTGTTAGAATATACTTTACTTTCTTTTTCTATGAGATCAATAATTATCGATAGATGAGATTTTATTGCTTTATACATAAATAATTCGTACGAAAGTTAATCGTAGAATTGTTCCTGTTCGATTAAGATAGTCAACTTGATTAAAATTGAAAAACTCCCACGGGTTCTATCTATATAGATTAGTTGTTACATTGAAAAAAAATCCAATAATCTTGATTAATTATGACTAGAAAAAATTTAATCGAAATTTACATTTATTAAACGAACTAGATGATGTAACAACAACAAAAAAAATATTTGTGTATGTTAAGTATAGTTTAAGAGCATATTGCATGTTATTTAACCTATCTTTTCTTATTCTAAGAAGATCAGATCAAAGAAGAGAAACATGACAAGATTGTCTTTAGAAAAAAAAGTAAATACACTGTATTATGACAGACTTGATATTTTATTTAAAGCAAAACGTTTTTCTTTTGCATAAATATTTACTTTGAAATTCTCTTTTTTTTGTTTGAGTACATAAAATATTCATGTTTTATTTTAATTAATTGCACTTAAGATTTCATCAAAGATTATGAGTAATACTTCAGTGCATGAATAAAATAGTAACATTATATTCTATAATTAACCTAATTAGCGATATGTTTGAGAAGAATGGATTTTATCTGCTTTCGGCAAATTTTTTGTATTTCCTTTCATCTATATATTTATTTTTATTTTAAATTACTATTTGCTTTATGAGAGAGAATTTCTCGTACAAAAAGCTTTTAGAATAATTGAAGTTTCTTATCTACAATAATATTGTCAAAAAAGATTAGAAATAAATTGTTCAAAATATTTACACAAACGCTTATTCTGATGTTACAAACTTTTATTTTATATTGATATGATTAGAAAAATATTGAAAGTATTCAAGCGATTACTTCTTCTCTCTTTTCTACAATAGAAAAAAAAACTAGCTATTAATCCTCAATTCATATGATGCTATGCATGAAAAATTGATCGATTGAGGGGTTAATCTAAGAGAGATTTTCCTGTATATCTCTAATAAAAGGAAATCAATCGAAATGACTTTTGAATTATTTTTACTTGAAAATTGACTTATCAATGGGGGGATACGCTTGAATACATCCTTTTTTATTAAGTACTATCAGAAAGAAAAAGAACTAATTTTATTAAGAGATTTTATAATAAATTCTCATGATATACTCGATTATTTATCTAATTTGACATGTAGTTACTTATATGATAGAATTGATATTAATGAACAATTTATGTTTAATCATCCATAACATTTAAGAAATATAATCATAGTTGTCTATTGTAAATGACACTAGAACATATGATTTTCTTTTTCTTCTTTCTGTATATTTATTGTTATTAATCGAATTGAGATAAATATGTTCTTTTGTCTAATGAACATGAGGTTATTAGGAGAAGATATTTTTCGTTACAATCTCTTGAGTATTTCAGTATTTGCCCCAAGGACACTTTGAAAACCATCAATGTCACACTTGAGACCAATAAGATAAAGCAGACAAATTTTTCTTGTCACTATCACGAGTGTATGTCGTGTACCAATCGATTTCCTCCTTATTTTCCTAATTGTTCCATCATGGAACGACAATAACACGAAAGAAACAAGAAGCATATATACTCATAAAGAAAAAAAGAAGTTCTTCTTTCTTTTTTTTTTTTTTGTGTGTTTCATATACACAGTAAAATTGATCATCTCTCTCGTTCTTCGTCGACATTGTATGTCTATGTAAAAGCCTTAGTCCCGTTCTTTCGCCTAAGCTCTGGTGCTCATTCATGTCTGTTGGGGAATCACATCAATAGAACGAGAAAAGAAGGGGTGGGTTTGTTCCGTTATGTGTTTCTGACATCATGGTTAAAAAAAAGAAGTAGAAAAAGAAGAAGAAGACGACGAAGAAAAAATAGAGATCGTTGAACGTGTTCTTCTTTTTCTCATCAACCGGCTCGAGCGCCAAGCCAGTGAGAGTGTGTGTGTGTGTCAACAGCATTTCATCCTCTTGTTTGTGTCTCTTTCTTTTTCTTATTGTGCGTATTGCTCCCTGGTCTTATATTTCAAGACGTATGCTTATCTAAACGAGTTAGACAGTATAGTTAGATAATTGTGTAGAAACCTTTAAAAGTCAATAATCATGGGTGATTTCAATAATGTATCTGCCATGATCAGGGCTTTAAAAGAAGGTGGCAATTTGGCAGCATTAACGGGTGGTGATCCACATAATCTTCATTCGGGACGACGTGGAGCATGGAAAGCAAAATTGAAACATTACGCTAAACAAATCAATTCATCGAGTCAACGATCATTATTTATATTTAAAAAGAATAATTGGATACGAAAACGAGCTAATGATGTTATTGAATGGAAGTAAGCTAATTTTCGTTTGTCTTTATAAGACAAGAAAAAAATTAACTAAATAATAATAATTTATTTTTTGTTTAGTCCTTTTGAATATATGGTGCTGTTAACAATTATAGCTAATTGTATTGTTTTAGCACTTGAAGAGCATTTACCACATGATGATAAAACAACATTAGCTAGATCATTAGTATGTATTCATTAGTAAATTTAATTAGTTATTAAATTAATTATTTTGTAGGAAAAAACTGAAATTTATTTTATTGGAATTTTTTGTTTTGAAGCCGCACTAAAAATAATTGCACTTGGTTTTGTATTACATGAAGGTTCATATCTAAGAAGTCTTTGGAATGTTATGGATTTTGTTGTTGTTGTTACTGGGTAAATTTATTTTCTAATTAATTAATTAATTAATTGTTTATTTCATCTGCGTTCGTTTTTTCTTTCAGTTTGGCAACGATTAGTATTAAAAAGAATAGTTCATTTGATTTACGAACATTACGTGCAGTACGTGTGCTGCGACCGCTTAAACTTGTCTCAGGCATTCCAAGTTTGTTTTTTTTCTAATAAAATCAAGACGAAAATTTATATGAGATTTTACTAGGTCTTCAAGTGGTGCTTAAATCTATATTAAAAGCCATGGCTCCGTTGTTTCAAATAGCTCTTCTCGTTCTTTTTGCTATTATTATATTCGCTATCATTGGCCTTGAATTGTATTCAGGCGTGTTTCACACAACTTGTTTTTATGCAAATCGAACAGGTTAGTAATTAGTATGAATAGAACAAGAAAATCTTGTCAATATTAAGTTTACAAAATGATTATTAGATCGAGTATTTTATTAATAGAAACGTAGTTTTTTTTCAAATAATTATTTTATTCTCGAGAGAGATTAAAGATCTTAGCTGTCATATTTTTATATATATAATTGTTTTATTTTTAGCTGCAGATAGTGATAGTGAAGAATGTAAGTTTTATTTTCCTGTTAATTTTACATGTATATATATATATATTAATATTTTAGTAATATATAAAGGTGATGATCATCAGTCAACAACATGCGGAATACCCGGAGGTAAATTATTCGATTAATAAGAAAGATAATTTCGAAGAATATTTCCTATATATTAATTAGAACCTGTTTGGGGTTGGTTAAATATAAAACTTGGAGTAAATACATGTAATATTCCAAATGAATCACTTGTTTGTCGAGAATATTGGAAAGGACCGAATGAAGGCATAACTAGTTTTGATAATATTGGTTTTGCTATGTTAACTGTCTTTCAATGTATAACTATGGAAGGCTGGACACAAGTATTATATTGGGTATAAGAAAAAAAAACTAAATTTTTATGAACATAGAAGTTTTTTTTCTTCTTAAAAGACAAATGATGCTGTGGGAACTTTATTTAATTGGCTTTATTTTGTACCATTAATTATTCTTGGTTCATTTTTTATGCTTAATCTTGTTCTTGGTGTTCTAAGCGGGTATATATGAAATTATATTAAAAAAAATCTGCATTTTGCTGTATTGTAGAGAATTTGCAAAAGAAAGAGAACGTGTTGAAAATCGTCGTGCATTTTTAAAAATTCGACGACAACAACAAATAGAACGTGAATATAATAATTATATTGAATGGATTAATCGTGCTGGTAAGAATTATTTTTTATTCTGTAAGAAAATTAATTACCTTCTTCTTTTTTGTCAAATAGAGGATGTTATTTTAAATGAAGAACGAACTACTGAACAAGAGAGAAGAGCTATTCATGAAGGTACATTTATTTAATAAAAAGAATAATTTTAAAAATAAAAAAATTTTCTAGCTCGAAAATATGCACAATTAAAGAAGACTCGGCATAATCGAGCTGGAAAACAACATAGCGTTGATGATGATGAAGAAGATATTGGTATGTATAATTAAATAGAATAAAATATTATCTATTTAAGATTAATTTTAGATAATGCATTCAATCGTGGTCGTGGTACAGATATTGAACGACAGGATCGACCACGAACTTTTATGCGTCGTTGGCATATTCAGCAACGTGTGATTAAGTAATAGAAAAGTATTTAAAAGAATAACAATAATCTTTCTTTCTGCTATCTAGAAGTAAAATTCGTATATTAGTGAAAACTCAAGCATTCTATTGGACTGTTATTGTATTGGTATTTTTGAATACTGCCTGTGTTGCTATTGAACATCATAACCAAAATCAATTTCTTACAGATTTTTTATGTATAGAAATTTTTCTTTGAAATAAATCTATATAATATTTTAATTTGATTTAGATATTGCTGAATTTGTTTTTCTTGGTTTATTCGTTTTTGAAATGCTTTTTAAAATGTATGGTCTTGGTGTTAATCAATACTTTGCATCATCATTTAATATATTTGATTTTGTCGTAAGTTTTCTTTTATCTTATTGATAAAATTTATATATATATCTCCAGGTTATTTTTGGATCAATATTTGAAGTTGTGTGGACATATTTTCATCCTGAAGAATCATTTGGTGTTTCTGTTCTTCGATCTTTACGTCTTTTGAGAATATTCAAAGTTACAAGGTTAGTAAAATAAATAAAGGTATAAATCGGATTAGTAATTCTTTTAATCGGATTATAATCTTAAAAAAAACCGAGCCTCGAAGTAGTTCTTATATATCATTAACAATTTTAAACACATTAAATATCTCTCATATTTTTTTTCTTCTTCTCAGACACTCATTAAATATAATCGGAACTGTTCGTATAAAGTTCTTTAATATTATGAACTCTATTAGCGTACTAATCACTTCGAAAGCTTCTATGACTTTCATTAAGAGATTCTATTAAAAAATCTCTAGCTGTTTCTATTATAAGCATTAATACATAAAACTTATCTCAGCTATGATTATCTGAATTAGTTGAAACCATTTCCGCAATAGGAAACATATTTCTAAGCTTTTTGCCCTCGTGATGTGCATTTACAAACAATAATAAAATTAATATTTATCGATAATCGTATTAAATATTTTTCTCGATCTGACAATTATTTATTATATTTGTATTTTTTGCTTCCTAGACATTGGGCATCTTTACGAAATTTAGTTGTATCATTATTGAGTAGTATGCGATCTATTGTTAGTTTACTTTTTCTACTCTTCTTATTCATTCTTATATTCGCCTTATTGGGTATGCAATTATTCGGTGGCGAGTAAGTTAATATATATTTTTTCTTCTTGATATTCTCTATAAATAATCTTCGTTTTTTTGTATAGATTTAGTTT